CTTGTATATAATCAAAATAGAGATTGCGAAGGTATAGTAGATAGTTAATATTCTATTATATTATATTCTCTTTCCAGGCAGTAGAGAGTGTCGGCCAAGTTCTACTTAGAGATTCGCCAGAATATACTTTATTAAGATAATGATATCGGTCTTCCAATATTCTACACAAACTGGTACTTCACATATCAGAAGTCTTTGCGCCCTATAGTGGGTCTCTGCAAATCATCCGGGGTGGCCGCCTAGCGCATAGTTGGACTGGATGATCTGCTGCTTATTTACGGCGTCCCTCTATTCAATACGGCCCGCTCAACGATGGATTTGCGCTAAGACCTTAGTAGATTAAATCTGTACTGTGTAGAAAGGCTTCCCATCTCAAACAGCCGCCAGTTTGCCTGCACAGAGTTGGGCCGCATCGCTATCTTGACAACCCTCGTCCCTACTCTTCTTCCTAGTTGGTTTCCTGATGCAGGGCCTTTTCTAGTGAGATTTGATATTTAAATTGACTAGCTGTCGGGATAGAACATTACAATTAATACCTTGTACGTATAGTAACAGCAAAAGAGCAGCAGATATCATAAAACACCGCATACACCGTCCAATTCCACAAAGGGAAAAGATAAAGACCATGGGACTCCGAAAATTAAGCCACCATATCAGAGCAACCAAGCGAAAGAAAAGCACGATATGTTTTGCGGTAAACAGGGTTTGGCTCTGGGATTATCCATTGCCCTCACCCCAGCTTATAATGAACGAAGCCAGAGATTGCATCGAAATGCAACCCGTATTAATTATTCCTCACCCACCACCCACAATTCCAGATATATGACTCACATAGATCTATCCCTCGTACATAAACGGAGAAAATGGGGGCTATATGGCTAGCTGGCTCATGGGTTGGCCTCCTTGTTGCTCTGGACGCTGGTGGACCGTTGGGAAGTGAAGAAACCGCGACGACGGTGCTCGCGACCGCTGTATCCGGACTCTTTGCCGCCGACGGACCCGCCGAGGCAGTACAGAACGCAGGCAATAAGAAGACAGGCTACGGACGTCCACATGAAACCGAATGACTTGGCGCCCAGGCTGGCCCTTTGGCCGTTGCCGTTGAACTTGTTACGACCCTGTACAAAGACGGCGCTACCATAGGTATTAGCAAGGATGTTTTTGAATTGTTCTCGATAGAGTTAATGGTAGAACTCACGTCATCAGGCAAGTAGTAATGATTTGGAAAATCAAGGCGATCCATGCCATCAGGGAAGAGATGTAGCTGCCGATACGGGTGCACATGGCCAGGAATCCGGTGAAGAGAGATACGACGCCGAAGAAAAGCGCGATGATTAGGAATGGAAATGTGAACCTGGAGGTCAGGAAGTAGTGGTTTGTACTGGGGAGGGTTAGTTAGGAATTCAATTCGTCGCGATCCGGTCTGACCGAGTGTCTTGCTTACCCGATGAAGGCTGCAGGTATGTTGGTTGTTGTGTCGAAGTTACGGGGGCTCGGAGGGTCGAAGGGGAAGTCGGGATAGGAGCTTCCGCAATCACTCTTTCCATTGGAACCGACGGCGCAAATGTTCCAGAATGTCCACCGGGATAGAGCTGGTGCGCCGGGGATGTTGCTTGTGTCGACTTGAAGGAAGTAGATTTCGTTCAAGGGAACCGAGTTCCGTGCTCCTCCCAGCAGGGTCAGGAACATTAGTAGCAGAGCTCCGGCCGTGAAGAATAGGCCTAGGAAGCCCAGCAGTACTCCTATGCGGGTTCATGTCAGTGGTTTCGCGACTGGGTCAACCGGCGTGGGAGAAACACACTGCTGAATGCCATTACTGAAGCAGTCGGCCTTCTATCCGGCTAAGGATTTTATATTTTATGTATAACCACACAATGGTCGATCGAGATGGTCAATCCCAAATGCTCAACTGGCCAGTTTGGGTATACAATGGGAAGAGTTGTGGGCGGAAAGGAAGTAAGAGGAGTCGAAGACGATGAGAGTGGAAGGACACAGCTAGTGATTTAGGTATTAAAGCGAAAACCCGGCAGTCCCGGCGATCCATGTTCACGAGGAAGGGTAGTGATATAATAATGAGAGTGCATCATAGTCGGTTGGCTGGCGAAAGTTGCACTCATGCGACTCGGTCTCAACGTCATCGTTGCAGCGTGCCCCGCTAACTCTCCTCGGCTAGCCCCAGTTTTCCCTCCGCGCCAACCCCGTTCGGGCAACCTAAACTTAACGTCCATGACGTTGTCGAACTACATTTTCTGGCTTGACGTTGCACCTGAACTGAGAATCTCTCCTGCGTTTCCCCATCAGGCTGCAAGATTTTTCAAGGTGATCGCTGGTTGACGTGGGTCCCCAAAAGTCAATGCTGCAATTTCTTCTCCCGTCCGCCTATCGAACCAGTCAAGTGGCTACGCCTACTTAGGGCGTGGTAGAATATTGGTCACTGTCCCTATACGGTGCCTCTTTGGCCACTAGGCACATCACAGTACCCAAGTTTTGAGCCCGATTGCATCCCGTGAACCCAATCAACATGAATAGCTACATGGGTATATTCGCCACTAGCTGCAGTACACGCACACAACCTTCCATGAATACTCCGGTACTGTCTAGCTACCATAAAAAGAGAGCAGCATGTACGCGCAGGTCTGAAAGTTCCTGCAGAAGCTTCAAGGTATTTCCAGATATTAATGGTTTGTTTGTATGATATCATATAGTGACGACCAACGTCGGGCCATCATGTTTTGTCTTAAAACAGAGACCTAGAGGATTCCTCCGCGATCGATCTCTGTAATTTACTGTCTCTAGCGCTTAAAATTAACTTCAATCCAGACCTTTTGTGGCTGAACACTTACAGTCCACTGTTAGTAAACTTGGCAATGCCCAACAACATGTTCGTTCATGAATGCCCCAAGAATGGCTTTTCTTCTCTTATCAACTGAAAAGAAAAACAAAATCCTAAGCAATGGTAAATAAAAATTCCCATCCTCATTCTCCATCCCACAGCAGCGTGGCCCCTGCTTAATATGATCATTTAATATCTACCGATCTACTTATGGAGGATCTACTAGTCTTGATTGCAGTCCATTGTCAAAAGGAAGTCCCTAATATAACCCGCAGCATCCGAAGCAAGCTATACCACTTCGGCAACTGTGCGCTCCTCGGCAAAACGTCTGAATATACCCTACACTTGTTCGCTACTCACGTCGCACAAATATCTCTACATCCAAGGGCGTGGGAAGCAGGGCTTTCCGTCCGTTCATGCGTACTCAAGCCACAGTTATCCACGTGGCTAGGAGTTGTTGCAGTCTGAAGCCTCATTGCTTTACGAGCGAGCATGCCAAATCACAAGGCAAGTACGATAATTAAACCCAATGCCATCCGGCAAAATAGTATGCAGGCCTTGTAGTTCACTAGATAAGTGACATAACTATGCCTCTCTATTGCCTATTATCCTTATATCCTTTTGCAATTTGCTAGTATGAATATGAACGATATATCTCACCAAGTGGGATTCCATCCAGCTATCTACTATTAGAACACGAATCGCCTTCCATTATACAGTTTTTGTGTAGGTGATTGCCTCGCTGACCAAGCGGATAACTTCTCTCTAATAGAGGGCATGCCCGCGAGAGTATTGAGGATGTTATCTCTTACCCCTCACGATCTTAAAGCCTATAGTATAATCATCGAAACTCCAGAGGCGCTTCGAACAATGGTTATCGCTGTGTAGATCGACATTAGACGCGAACCAGTTCAGCTCCAAGTTGTTGAGACCAGCAGTAGTCATTAGTGCGAATAGGGAAAGAGAAGGAAAATTTTAGACTTAACCTTCCTTTTCTGAATCCATTCTATCTTGGTTTTGTTCAAATTCACTATTTTTCAGAGTATAGCCCGGGGGGGGAAGTCTATATTTAAGAAGCAATTTGGACGGCTTTCCATGTTGGACCCTGGAGCTTCTGATAGTTGGGGCCCAAAACCGACCGATAACCGACCATAACATTATGTTCTTAGCTATTGTGGTTATTGTCCTTTACATACTTGGGGCAGCGTGTTATCGCCTTTACTACCACCCTCTTCACTCCTTTCCCGGTCCGAAGCTTGCAGCCATCACAAGTCTATATGAGTTTTACTATGCAGTGATTAAAGATGGCCAATTCATTTGGGAGATTGGCAGGTTACATGACAAATACGGTATCAACGATTGGCTTCATGCTGGACCTGTGAGGATTTGAAGGGCTTCTGCGAGAAACTGACAAATTAAAAGGGCCGATTGTACGTATAACGCCGGACGAGCTACATATAAGAGACTCGTCCTTTTACAATGAGATATATGCTGGTGGTACACGTGTGGGAGAAAAGTCTTCGTCATTTGTTCGCTTATTCGGTGCCCCTGATTCAACTGTTGCGACGGCTGATCACAATCATCATCAGCTACGCCGTAAGGTATTGAGCAAATACTTCTCTAAACGCTCGGTTTTAAAAATGCAGCCACTTATACAGGGCAAGATCGACGCCTTGATTCAGCATTTTAGAAAGGCCCACAGGGAACAACGTGTCATAAATCTCTCTATAGCCTTCTCGGCATTAACTGCGGACATAATCTCAACTTATGCATACAGTATACATGATTGTTTCTTGAAGAATATCGAGCAAAATGAGATAAAAACGGCAACCCAGGCGTTTGGATCGTTCAGTCACTTTTTCAGATTCATCCCTTTCGACATGCCTAGGATGAGGTACATTTCTTCAAAGGTGTTGGAGAAGATCTTTCTACCGGCAGCCAGGGTGATCAAAGTACAGGAGTCATTATGACAACAGGCAAATGTGGCAATGTCTGCTAAGCAGCCTCTGTCATTACCAAATACAGTCTTCACCTCTTTGATTGACCAAAGCCTGCCCCCGGAGGAGCGAACATTGGATCGGCTGCAGGGTGAGGGGTATATCCTTCTTACGGCAGGAACTTAAACATCAAGCTAGGCATTAAGTGTGACTATTTTTTATTTATTAAGTAACAAGCAATTTCTCCTCCGGCTTCATGAAGAGCTCAAGCTTGCGATGCCGAAACCAAATCATGTTCCTGATCTATCCAAGCTCGAGACTTTGCCACTACTGGTATAGTATTTCGGCTCCCTTTCTTCTTTTTTCTCGTATTGCTGTTACAGATACTTTGTTTACTGATTCCATGAAGCGGGCAGCAATACAAGAAGGCTTCGGCTTTCCTTTGGTGTGCTCACGCGCCTACCACGAGTCGCCCCTTTCGAAGCATTGAACTATAAAGGACACCTTATACCTCCAGGTGTAAGTGCGGTGTGATGTCCGTATGGAGGCCATACCTAACACAATTCCAGACACCAGTGAGTCAATCAATATATTTGATCAATATGAATCCTCGGCATTTTCCGGAACCACACACATTCAACCCAGACAGATGGCTGGGCACGGCAGAAGAAAGAAAAGCCCTAGAATCAATGCTTGTGTCATTTTCTAGAGGAAGCCGCCAATGTCTAGGCATAAAGCACATGTGGTCCCCCTCTTTTCTTTTCCTCTTTCCTGGCTTAACTTTACCCATAATCAAGAAGACATTAACTATGTTATACAATAGCCTTGTCTACGCAGAACTATTCCTTACCCTCGCTACCTTGGTGCGTCGATTTGATCTAAAACTGGTTGACACTACACTCGATGACGTCGAGCCATACAGGGACCATTTCATCATTTCCCCAAAAAATAGGAATAGGGATATAAAAGTTATAGTAACGCAGGAGTATGCATCAAAATCGTCATCGAAGCTTTAAACAGACTACCTTTGGATACCAATCTGTCAAATTTTGTTTCTTTGTCTTTCGCGAATTCATCAATTCTCTACACTGATTTATTCGGGTCAAACTCGTATGATAACCTAACAGTGGTACAGCAGCCCCCAATATGCTCAGGTCTGACACCGTCTTCGTCCTATGTTTCCAGTTGCCCAGTATTATTTCCCAATATGGTCAACCCGCAGCCAGCAATTTGCATAAACGAACAATTCCTTGCTGAAATCGCAGTTCTATGATAAAGGCAAAAGTTGAATTTATTATATCGAAAGTCTTTATATAACAGTGGAACTCGCAGAACCCTGACGGAATATTCAGAGGATGAAAAGCTATACTTACAGAATTACTAAATAGACAAATTACAAACTAGTTATTATCCTTATGACGACAAACCCGGATCAGTAATATATCAGCTCCTAAATCGAATCAATGACGATGAGATCTGGAAAATCTCAGAATTCACGATCTTGGAAGTTGTATGGAGAGTATGTATGAGTGAAGCAGAAGCAATGCTCTTATTGCGGCAAAACCAAATAGCAATCCATAGATTCTTAGTGTCTAAACAACTGGTATTAAGATATATATAAACTTTTGCCGAATGGATCCTCCGAGGTAAGGGAAAGGCACTGCGAAATAGTCGTGTTACTATATATATTTTTCTCGCTGTCGAAGAAATCGTTATCGATAGGCTAGTGGATATAACCACCAAGGTACGGCTTTAAGTAAGAACTCACAAGGTAAACATGTTGCCTTGGCCTTATCTACCGGTCTTTTCTATAACGTACGAAAGATTTGCTATAGCATCAGACAGAAATATTTAGTAGACATGAGTGCCTATAACTATAAATTCAATGCATATTAGCATAAATTACGTAATTATGCATGTAATAGATTAGATCTGCGCTAGTACGTTTTCATCCGCCTACAAACGTCACGAGCGCTGTAGCAACAGCGCAATAGCAACCATATGACTGAACTATCTTCTCTGTCATTATTCTATTTTTCACTAAACTCTGGAATAGTACCAGAAGTTCTATACTTAGAACAGATAGCACGACTCCCAATCTAGTGGACTCAGTTCGCCAAAATGGCTACTTGGGTATACCCACCACTACCTCCGCAGCAGCTGGAACCGGAAGCTGATAGTGCATTGGTATACTTCTCCCCAGATGCATACGAGATTCCTTTGGCTTTTTACAAAGATTAAAGTATCGCATGTCTAGTATATCTCTGTTGTTGACTTTTGGCACCGATACAGGCCAGGGAATTAGAATGGTTACTGCGTTCCCTGCAAGACTCGCTAGCCTCCCTAAGGGAAGGCTTGCATGAATGCGCTGCGCTTCTTGCCCCTAAAGAGCCAGGCTCAACATTGGTTATGTCCTCTGTACGATCAGAAATCGTGAAAGGATTCGTAACAAGGATTGGGACCAAAGTCGTGAAAGGCGTATGTTATGCGCGCTTGCTTTCTCCTATTCTCGAACGAATCGATTGGACTGATCAAGTATTGTCATGCGCTAGGATATTCAACTACGCCTTGGCTCCCTTGCTCCTGCACGCGGCTCCCCAACAACTCGCTTATGTTTGTCGAACTCGCCCGGTGCACCAGAGCTTGTGCTGCATCAGTTGGTTTCGGTGAGGGATTTGGTCAACCAGAGTCTCGATGTGGTGGACGTCAGCACTTGGACTGGCGACCCGCTCAATGCAAGTTTCATATATGGGCAGCTGCGTCTATTATATGAAACTCTGTCCGAGGCTCGGCAGATGCTGAAGGGTGAGAGTGATCAGGTCAGGGGCAAGTGGTGGGAGACAAGTGCGCTTGAGGATGTATGTTCGGCGCATCGTTCTTTAGTCCTCTTTACTCGTTACTAACTTATGACTGCGAAGATGTTTGACCCGCCGTTGCCGCTAAACCTTTCGTTCCATCTCTCGATCGCCGATTCAGCCCTCGTTTTGTGTCTAAGGACGCTCGAGTCCAGCACACCCACACATACTCCAACAGCTTTTGCCACCGACATTTCTTTGACTGGGTTCAATCTGCGAGACCGTTTGTTTGGAACTCGACACCGCGGACATGATGAGGTCGGAGAACTTTTCACGTGGAAGGGAGACGAGGTCAAAGTAAGGGAAAAGATCCGCGTGGAAAGTCAGGACCCGAGCCTGATGGCAGTCATGGCGAAGTTGACTGCTCTGCAACATGAAGTGATGAAATGGATTTCTGCGCTGAAAGTGCTTATGGGCAACGAAGATACCGATAGCGAGGAATAGTTTTGACAGGCCCTAAATTGTATATACTATTCTATATCATTCAGATACATTAACATGTCACTTAATACTTCCATATTCAACCTCATGTTGCCCATACTTGAAATATTACATAATCTAACTGTCTCCTTCCGCCTGCCAATAGGAAGGGCGGAATTTCCGATAGTCGCATTTCTTGGCAAAGATTTTCCTGACCGAGCTCTCACGAGTGGCGTTTTTCCCTTCATCCCCAGATTCAGGCCGCAGATTATCGCTTTCAGGGTGGTAAGAAGGGTTGATGATGCTGTCAAGATCTCCAGCATCAAGGGCGAGCCGGTCTTGCTCCCACGGCCTTCTGCGCACCATTGCATCGAAGTCGTCGCAGATCAGTTCGCAACAACTCCGCGGCGGAGCTACCAGTCTCATAGCGCAGCGGTACAGATGCACAAACACGCGGTACGAGTTTCCTCTTAATTCTCCGGTCGGATTCCCCCGGAAAACTGCTACTGGATATCCAATCGGATTGAAGGATGGACGGCGATATGCGTCTACGGTGCCCCCTGCAGATGGCAATGTCAATACGGATCGCAAGGACGCTGTCTACGATGTGATTGATAGGATTGAACAGAATGAGATGGAAATGGCTGAGCTTATGGATGAGTTGAGCTTATTGGATGACTATTGGGAAGCTCTCAATCTTGATGGTCCAGAGCTTGATCATGCATTTAGCGAGACGATCGGCCATCGGGACCCGGAGACTCTAGAAGCGCGCGTGCAGGAGGCGAGGCAAATGTTTGGGGACACTCTACCCGATGGATATCTGAACGACACTGAGTTGCGGTTGTACACCCAGTTGTATGGCGAGCCAATCATTCGGGAGGAGGAGTTGGAGCTTGAAGCGGAGGGAGATGAGAAGGACCCCGATGTTTTATACCGTGAGGATGGCCAGGGAGGATGGGAGGCAGTGGATTTCGAGCAGGCTGAGTTAGAGGATGAGCCACCTGTGGTGTATGATATGGAGGCTGGCCCGGTCGAGGATGAATCTATCGCCATGCAACGGACACGGGAAGTGGCAGAGCAGCTCGGCGGAGAAATCATGCTGGAGCAGTTCGAAGAAGACGCAAACCCGGATGACACACCTCGACTACATCCTCTCACTGTGGAGGGGAAGTTCTCTACTGATCCCAGTACTGTTTTCTTGCCCAAGGATACAGTAACTGGTCCCATTTCCATCATTTTATCGGACTACGCCAATAAACATATCGCAGATGTTGCCCATCGCACCTTTGGCGGTACGCGTCTTCCTTATTCCACTACCACCCCACCACCACGCGCACAGATGCCTCAGCTTCCTATTCCACTAGAAGCTTCCCAGCGGCACATGACGGAAATGGAGGCGAATGCATACATTGCGGCTCTGTACCCTGGAATGTATACCTCCATTCTGAGTACTCTGGTCGAGGTCCGAAAGCGCTTGGGCACAGAGTGGTTGCGTGGGCTCATCTCGAAAGAAGATGGCCCGCAAATCCTTGATGCCAGTGGTGGTGGTGCAGGCGTCCTCGCCTGGCGAGATGTCATTCGCGCAGAGTGGGAGACGATGGTGCCAGACCATCCGAAGAAAAGTCCTTATCCTATGGGTAGATCAACTGTCGTCACTGGTTCGGAGTCCCTACGAAATCGCGCAAGTTTGATGTTGGAGAATACTTCATTCCTACCACGCCTGCCTGACTACGTTCACATCCGCGAGAAACCAACTCTAGATGATGAGAGAGCTCCTCCAAAGCGAAAGCAGTATGACATAATCGTCGCTCCCCATAGCTTGCTCGGCATAGATGAGGAATTCTTACGCAAAGAGCACGTGGAGAACCTGTGGAATCTTCTCAACCCCGATGGCGGTGTTCTGATTCTTCTCGAGAAGGGACACCAGAAAGGATTCGAAGCAATTGCTGGAGCTCGTGAGATGCTCCTTAAGCGTCTCATCTCAAGTCCTGGCTCTACAGAATATACCAACTTCACTGAGTCGCCAATTGAGGAATCACATATCGAGAAGGAGCCCGGAATGATCGTCGCGCCCTGCACTAACCATGAGAAATGCCCCATGTTCAGCGTTCCTGGCCATTCCAAGGGACGCAAAGATTATTGCCATTTCCAGCAGAGATATATCAGGCCCCCATTCCTCCAGCGCATCTTGGGAGCCAAGGATCGGAACCATGAAGACGTCAAGTTCAGTTATATCGCTGTACAGCGTGGCGTGGACTTACGTGAGACGAAGGGTATCGTACAAGGCCCCGAGGCTACCGAAGCAGCCTTTGCTGGCTACGAAGATCTACATGAAACAGCTGTAGAAGAGACGGAAGCATCAAACGAAGCTGCTGGCTCCCAGGCTGAGCCAAGCGAACAGGCAAAGCCCGAGAACTTCCACACCTTATCTCTTCCTCGTATTGTGTATCCTCCAATGAAACGCCGCGGACATGTCATCTTTGATTTCTGTACGCCCGCTGGAAAGATTGAGCGCTGGACAGTTCCCCGCTCCTATAGCCGTCAGGCATACAAAGATGCTCGCAAGTCAAGCTGGGGAGATCTGTGGGCTCTTGGTGCGAAGACCCGCATCCCAAGAAGCTTGAGAATCGGTGATAAGCATGGCGAAGGCAAGAAAGAACGTTTGGCCAGGCGGGCAGCTTTCAGGGCTGAATTAGCTGAGGAGGGTGAACTTGAGCAGCAGGCCGAGGGTTCTGACTGGCCCGAAGTGCTAATCCCGCAGAGAAAGAAGGGTCAAACAATTCCCAGTTGGAAAAAGCATGTGGACAAGAAGAAGGTGAGACAGGCTTCGAAGAAGCATGCCGCTGCGAAAGTAGCGCAGAATGACTTTTTGGTTTGAAAGCTTCGTTTGGCATAGTTCATCGGCTGGCAGGGAACACAAGGCATAGGGCTACGGCGCATGAATGGTTCATATCTCGGTACAGGCGCCCGGGCCTCAATTTCTGAAAATGTATTATAAATGTATCATAAATGACGGATATATGTAATTAGACCATAACTGTAAAGCTTATTGAGCTCTTCACTCAATTTCAATGTGACCAATATTCCTCTCACATGTAACATCAGCAGCTCCATATATTCCATAGGCCGTACCGGGTATAATTGTGGCCGGATATTCACGGGAAAATGTCAATGGCCTGAAGATGCCCGCCATGAGGGACCTGCAGTTTGCTGGCGCATGACGGTATAACCGAAAGACTGACTTTTCGCATCACTACTCTTTGGCTTTACACATTAGCAGCGCACAAGGAATACCATGCACGGTGGGTACGAATGCAGCGAGTAGACGTATGTTCAAAATATAGTCTCAACGCTGCTCCGCGATGGCAGCGACCTACTTCCTTGGAGGTCGGTTTATCGAGCTCAGGTCGTTTCACCGCATATAATGGCAGGTGCTTCGTATATGGATGACGTAGTTGCAACAATTCTGCGCTGTTGCTATTATTTCCCCTCCATGGGTGCAGACTTATTGGGCGGCCATGCTCTTTCTCAACTGACGCTCGCGCTGTTTACTCTGCAGCTCCAATCTCTCCACGGCATACTTCAGCCGTTCCTTCTTCTGCACCAATCGCCTGAACTCTGCCGCCTTTGCAGCATTAGCCTTTTGTCGATCGCCATAGGCATTCTGGCTACGGCTTGAGGTTTGGCGGCTTTCGCTGGAGTACATTCTGCCTTCCTGCAGTTCAGCTTTTGCTCGGAGAGCTTGTTCGCGACGGGAGAGCTTTTCAACGTGGTTTGACGCTAATGATAGCAAGTGTCCGATGCTGGGAGTGATTTCATCAAGTAATGATTGCTGTGCTTCACGGACCGTAGGCTCGGGGAGAAGCTCAAAGTGCTGTGGTCGGATTTTATCAGTACCTTGGCCGGTGTTCGAAAGGAACGTTTCCGGCACTTACTCGGGTTGTTTGCAAGACCTTACACAGTCGGGGAAAGTCGCTAATGCCAGACTCAAGAGTGGAGATGGATGAGTCGAGGAGTTGAAGAGATGATCCGAGAGACAAGACTGAAGCGTTCAGTGATGCCGCCATGGTGATATATGAGGGAGCAATAATGCAGGAGCACTTTTGCCTATACGTATAAAGTATGAAGTCGGAGTTGATAACTGGTGCATTTGTTTACAGGAGGGGCTAACGGAGTGATAAAAGCGGCGATGGGTCTGTGCGGCTATGGTAAAAGCGGCCGGGAGTCGGACCTCCGGGCAAAACTCGTTGTTCCCGCTCCTCCTCGTCGCACCGTATTCCGCCTACATCAACTCACCTCTCACCTCTATCCTCTTAAGACATTCCCGTGCAATACACAACTTGTCGCCATGTCTCTCCTCGGAAAGAAGTTCCCTACCCCCATCGGTAAGACACTGCGCCGGTCGGACATTTTGTTGGATTAAACCAGGCTGAAAGCTGACTGACCTACCTCGTTATAGCCAAGCCTCTGGGCCCCTTCTTCGCTGCCGGTATGCACCGCCATGCTTGAATTCCCTCTTCGAATACGTCTATTCTATCTGGTTTCGACTATGGGACACGTGTTTGGACAAGTGCACAGGGTACTAGATCTCGGATACTGACGGGACTGTGTTTCTAGGCGTTGTCATCCTCTACGGCGTTAACTCCTTCGGCAACCTCCTCATGAACAGTGAGTCGCTCCATTCTCCGAATTTATGATATGTCCTGCCATATATGAGCCGGCTTGTCTCTTCAATGCGAGCAATTCCCGCAACGTCTCGATTATAGCTAACCTCGGTTTCCTTCTGCAGCCGAGGAGTTCAAGAACGACCCCCGCAACCCCAACCTCAAGAACAGCAAGCATTAAATTAGTCTCTGTTAATCTGAGAATGTCGATATGACGGGTGAAAGAGGAATACGGAGGGTGGCTGATTACCCGGATTGCTGCTTCGCCAAAGTTTCGGTTCGCGGACAGTTATTCTGTACAGGCATATAGACTATACCGTCATAAGATTTTGACGAATTGACAAGTTGTACCACTACTGCTACGGTCGTCTTTTCCGGTACAGGTTTCACCTGTTCTCTTTGTCTTGACTGATATCACTTCGCGTAATTTAGCTGCGAAGTCAGCAGTAGCTGGCAGTTATCACACGCTGTTGTTCTTCCGTGCTATCTTATGTGAACTGTCTTTTGCTGCCAAATGCTCCTCAATTCGCTTGGCCTGGTAGCTTCTAAAAGTCGCTTGTAGTATGGCGTATGCATGCTATGATCTAGAGCTTTAAGTCTAATGATGCATGATCCAGTCTCACAGTATGGATGATCTGTTCCACCTACAGGGCCTTTTCTCTATAGATTCACTCAATCCACCGGCTCGATCACATTAAGCTGCATCTCAGTGACCTGCTCAAGGCTGGCCATGCGGTTGCAGAAGAGTAATGTTAATAGCACGGTCTTTTCCCTTTCGCCGTGTTTATTAGAAAGCACCGGTAAATTTGGTGTAGGTCGTATTAATTACTATTACCATATCAGCTCATGTAGACAATGATCACTTGCACGAGGGTCATCCAAAGGTACAGCTCCCTATCAAAAGACCGGACGGATGGGGATCGATAGCCGTCACGTATAGCAGATGAACACTAACCCGAACTAGGAAAGCGTATTTTCCCGTGACCCCAGAACTCCGATCACCACCGCCATCAAAAGATATCAAGTGCCGACATCCAGACCATCGCAGTTCACCAGCTACGGGAAAATACACCATGTCGCTCTTCAGATCCAAGCGCCTGGACCTCAGCGGGTTCATCAACGCCCGTGTCATCCGTGACCACACCAAGCGGAAGGTTTTCGAGCAGCACGAGCCTGAACGGTATGCCAAGTCGACTTTTTTGACATTGTCGCATTTCACCCTGACAAAAATTATGGGGAATGATTTCTCATTAATTGATTTTGATAATATAGTCAAGCTCTCCGCTACATCATCCGCAACACCTCCCTCCCGCAGCGTACCCGTGCCCAGGCTCAATTGCAGCTTTCCCAGATGCACGCCTACACCCGGCCCACCCAGATCAAGAACCGCTGTGTGGCGGGTGGTATTGCTCGAAGTGTGATTCGCGACTTCAGAATTGCTAGAGTAAGCGGATCTCTCTTAGCCCTTTTCATGGGGTGGCGAGCGCTGACTGATCGTGTTTAGTACCAATTCCGTCAACAGGCACTGGCTGGTGAACTACCCGGTGTGAAGAAGGCCAGTTGGTAGTGTGTCCATATACTGCGGATTGTTTTATTATGTTCATGGCTACTGGGTCAGCCGGTTTGCACGAGGGCGTTTAATTCCATACTTTTTTTCGAGAAAGATGTACAATATATCAACTGCCGGGTTTCAATAGACGATATGTGCTGGATTTTCTCCGCTAGTTGCGACTTTTCCGTTTATATGAAGCGTTTGCTACCGTCTGCTAAGTCTTCCAAAATGGACGAATACCTGATAGCTGGTGGAATCTGTCTTTCCAGCAAGTCATAGATCATGACTTTATCATTCATAAGCACTTGGTATATACAACTGTACACAGACAAAACTAACACTGTCAGGTAGCCTTGTTATATTAATTGGCGAATGTACTCGTCGCTCCTGGTTCTTTTTTCATGCAATAGTCCTGTGAACAAAGACTCAACTGAAAGGTGAATGAATGTTTGTCCCTAGTTGTCCTTAGGACGCTTCCACACAACAGTACATGTACCTTGAATGAGCCCTGAATTGACCTGACTGACTTGACTAAGACCTTATTCTGCCTGCTCTTGACACTCTTTGCTTGAGATATTGTCAGAATTCTACTGCCATGTATAAGCCTAAAGCATGAACAGTGGACTTCATTCTGTACATCGACTACCAGAATTTCAACTGTGATGTTCATATTGCAGCTCAAGGATGGCTTTGATAGAGATATCTTAAGAGGTATAAACAAAGGTCTGACATGCATACAAAGAAGCTGTATCTTATGACATGTAGTACAAGCCCGTGACCAAGCGTTCATGGCCAACCCTGGATATCCGTTTGCATGAATTTATTCAATTAGTGTTGATTCACTGCGTTTCATGCGTTTGCATATTCACGACGACTAATCAACTCTGGTATCTTTACTCTCAGTGCAACAGCTTCATTCTTCTTCTTTAATTGTCACATTGGTCCTGTGCCTCTTGTCTTTCCTTACAATTAAAAGAACAACAAAACCCACAGGATGTTTGTCTACCGTCGTGAAGACCTCCCGCCCGAGCACGAGTTTCCTGCGGACCTTGAGAAATTAGGGTATGGACTCGACGTTTCCTCTGCAGTCACGACTAAATACTAAACAAGGAGTGATAACAAGATACTTCATCAATGAGAACGACCAGATCAGAAAGATCGCGGACCCCAAGGAGGATTTTCAGTACAAGATCAACAAAAATGCCCGTGTTAATGAAATGCAGAGAGAGGCGATGAGCGGTACGTCCTCTCGAGACGAGATACTCACTTCTCCCAAGAGATCTCATGATGAGATGTCTAACACTAGTAAACACTCCAGAGTGCATCCGCAAGATCGTGGCCTCTCGCCTGCGGGAGCTCAACCTTACAACCCTGCGTCTTCCTCTCACTTGTAAAGTGAATGAAGCTCATGTTCCGATCCTGGTGTCATCTAACCTGTCGACGGCATCTCGAATCATTGTCGTCTTCGGGGAGCCAGTCCAGGACCTTGGCATCTGGGCGTATCGAAGCATAGGCGTGGATGGCATCAACGCAGGCTCCGCTGTCTCGTTTGCCAAAGCTGTCCTTCACCCCGAACCCAACGAAGAGGGAACCGACACGGAGTCCTTCTCCAAGCGCGGCGACACTGCTCTGGTGCTGGCCAACACCGGCCAATTAATTTGGCATTGCGGTGCTCGTCGCCCCATGACCCTGCCGTCCTGGCTTGCTTATCCTCGTCCCTCCGCCGTCGACCCGCCCCTGATGATGACCCACAGAAACAAGATCCCTTCCAACAGCTGCTGGGAAGATCATGTCGCCTGTGTCTTTGATGAAAATCTAGCTGACCGCGGACGCTTGGTGCGCCACGATGCGAAAATTAACATCGTCGGAATCGCCGAAGGGGGCCAGGGCGCAATCCGCTACTTATCTCTAAACTGTAAGTCCTACTTTACTGTATTGTATTCAGAGTGACCATCCCACGGCTAATACGTGAAACCAATTCGACACAGGGGAGCACTGGCGCGGATACATCTCTGCTATTGTTCTCACCAACCCCCTGCACTCCGTAGACCTTGAACTGGCTGTCACCGATGAGATCTCCGGCTCGTTCCTTGCCTTCATCTCCTCCCGCTGCCGTGCCTATGTTATCTCCGACGAACCGCAGGGTTGTCTGGTCCCCGGCGCCCGTCGGCATGGCTGTAACTGCTACTCGTCTGGGGAGCGGCAGCACGTGGAGTGCATCATGCCGCGCGCCTGGAAGCATATGCTTGAGTGGCTGAACCGGGCACACGCGGATCCGACCATGCATGAGGCGCAGCTGAAGCTGAAGGAGATGGATGATAGCGAGTCGGAGACTGTGAGCTCGAATGGAAGCAATGAGTGAGTCTGTGGAGTCTCTGGCCTTTTAAAGAGCTGGTTTGCCTTGATCGATGGTTCTGGGGTTTATGCAAGGTTACTGGCGGGTGGGTTAGGATGGATACGAGGGCGAGACTTGAGCTCCAGCTTCTTTACAGCTGAAACATTAGGTAGCGATTAAGCAGATAGCGCTCTGAAAAGTGCAGAAAGACATTTATTCATCCAAAACGAGATATGCAAAGTCAGCTGTGTCAACATGGCACTATTGACTCACTTCAGCCCCGCTGTCAGAGAAGTTCGATTTAACGTCGATAAGGAAGCGTTCCAGAAAGATAATCGATCGATTCCCTCTCAATGTACACTAGCAATTAGCGTGATTCCTCAAGTCTAGACTCTAAGCATCGCCCATTTCACTAGGTACCCTTGACCAACACCCCACCTCAGATATACAATCATCCTCAGCACCACCACACCACCACACCACCAACCCAGCCCAAACCCACCTTGCATCCCAAAGCCCCCAAAAATGTCCCGCGGCGAAACAAACATCCCCACCCTCCTCTCAACAATGGACCCAATCCTCGACCCGGACACCTACGTCTTCCTCACCACCACCACACCCCTCCATTCCCTCCCCCTCACCACGCTCCAACCCCAAATGGTCTTCCAAGAGTCCGAAGGCCTGACCCTGATCACGACGAAAGCCATCGCTGAAGCCCACAACTACGACCACTACACCTTCCCCTGCCGCAAGATCTCACTCAAGGTGCATTCCAGCCTCGAAGCCGTAGGCCTGATCGCGACGATCTCGACGAAATTAGCGGCGCACGGGATCAGCACGAACGTTGTGAGTGGGTTCTTTCACGATCATGTTTTTGTCCCCGAGGGTCGAGAGGGGGATGCGATGGGGGTTCTGTTGGGGATGATGAATGGGGAATCTTGATTGTGGGCTGTAATACTAGTAGGATGTGTGATATTGTGTCATGGGCTAGGGAGACAGGGAAATTTGAGATCGCGTATATGATAGCGACGGAAAACAGGGCTAGGTAGGGCTTATATGGCACGTCAGAGGTTGCCGGGCGTAAACCCAGAGAGGAAGGCGACCGTGACCACTGCAGTGGGTTGTGGTATCTTGCACACTGATTTAGGGGGAAGAGGGATGTTGAATGTATCGCTTCCTTGTTGATGATGCTTATTTTCATGACCCTCTTTCGACTACACTTGTGTCGCTTTCAGATAGATTGTTGACGAGATGACGCCAGAGCAAAGCTTATATAGAAGACTAAATCATGGATATTACGAGCGAAGCGAAATGAAACCGAAACTGGTTGGGGAGTGTCACGCAAGATGGTCTAGGGATTGGCGATAGACATTCATTTCTGGACGAGGCATTGGTGTTAGATCGAAGAACCAGATTCTAGTCTCGACGGTTTGGCTATTTTTGCTGCTTCTTGCTGACAGGAACTAACATATAGTGAATCCCTGTCTGGTAGTATACGATCACCACGTCGATTCGTCCGAAAAGTGGATACTCGAAAGTCAATTGACAGGTTTATTTGCACATCTACTCGCCGTTGCGGATCATGGTAGCATCATCGTGGATGCTGGTTCTACACAGTATACTACTAGTATTTACTTCAAAGCGGCCGTTGACACGGTGGCGTGGTCCGACCACAGGTACGGCCTTTGCTCGGTTGGGTGTCCTGAAGCAAAAGAAGGCTTAGCTGGGTGGCGTTCTGACACTCGGAAGCAATACAGGGAAGCCCCGGCCAATTCATGTGTTCCCCTGATTTGTGGCCCAGGATCGACCTGGGATCTACTGCTATCGACTCTTAGTGAGGGGGAACGAATGCTCAGAGAGTAACCCCTCATCGCCAGAAACGAAAGAATATCCAAGAATAGAGAGAGACGTGCGTGTCCAACGGGGGCTTCCGACCCAACAAGGGAATGTTTAGCCGAATGGTCCAGAGCGTGGAAACATTCACGCGCATGCGGAGTGCCTGCATACCAATTTTTCCTGCGTGGTACATCTGACTCCGAGGTCATTGTCCAACGATAGGAAGCTATCGAGTAAAGAAAACTCCTGAAGGGGAAATGTGACCAATTTTGATCGAGTAAAGACAGGTACTAAAAGCAATTGCAGGGAGCGAGCCGATGGCGGATGCCGGAGGCGCCCGATGCACAACCACGGTTGAGGGGGAGCAGCCAGACTGGCGAGCACTCAGGCCACTCAGGGTTTTACGAGGCCACCAACGAACTTTCCGAATACCCGAATCGGTAATGGTGAGGGTATCGAGGGTCACATGGATCCTTCTAACTTCCCTTTGCTCACGACTCTCCCTACGATGAGTGCGAGCACGTCGCTGATGGCCTTCTCATGCTGGGGGGAGCGTCCATGAATACACCGACAGTCCGAAAGGCTTATCGGTATTTCGATCGAGTAAGACGAATCTCTGATACTGTTCCGGTGGCACCGGTGGATCCGTTTGTTTGGGAAGTGGATCCCCTTTTTATACTTTTTTTTCTTTTTTCTTTTTTTTTTTTTTTTTTTTTCTTTCCGATTACTCGATCAGTACTGTTATCGTTAGGGAGAAAATGTGGCCAAAGTTCGGGAATTGGAAAAGACAAGGCACTAAGGGCTCCCACGGATGATGGAGACGATGGCACCAGGTTATAAAACCCTTATCGGTACCCCGGATTGCGATATCGTGCCTGCCCTCCCATATCGCATTTCTTCCTAGTAAAGAGTTTCGTCCTTATCAGTCTGTCTTCAAGACTTCCCAAAGAAGGATCCCTTGCCTCTCAAACCCTCCTGAAACGTCGTTTCTTATCAGTTCATTGAACTCGTCCTTATCTTCGTCCACTCACTGTCATCACCCTCTTTGGGCCCCTCCTCGACCTCTTCCTCTCTCCCATTTTCTCTTCTTCCTCTCTTTGGCCCCTTATCTCTTCTTCTCTCCTATCGATAACCTTCCTGGACAATGGAGACGCAGCAAATACCCTCTATCGCTGTGGTGACATCTTCTCGAGCCGTCATCTCGGGTCGTCTAACGTCAGCCACCATCGTTATCTCTCGCACCTCTGGAAAGATCACCGCGGTCTTCGACTCCGTTATTCCTGCCTCTGACTTCCCCGAGGGGACTCCTTATACCGACTATTCGCCTCATGTCTTGCTGCCCGGCTTAGTGGATGCCCATGTTCACCTGAACGAGCCCGGCCGCACCGAATGGGAGGGCTTTTACACAGGCACCCAGGCTGCTGCCTTTGGCGGTGTCACCACCGTCATTGACATGCCTTTGAACGCCATCCCACCCACCACCACCGTGGCAGGTTTCAAGGAGAAGCTGAATGCTGCCCAAGGCAAGTGCTGGGTCGATGTCGGCTTCTATGGCGGCATCATCCCCGGCAACGCTGGCGAGCTGAAGGCCCTCGTTAACCAAGGTGTCCGTGGCTTCAAGGGATTTCTCATCGACAGTGGGGTATGTATACCGACACTCCCTCAGCAAGTTTCCGTGCTTACCGTTATAGGTTGACGAATTCCCCGCCGTCTCCTCGGAAGACATCCGGAAGGCCATGGCAGAGCTGGCCGATGAGCCCACCACCCTCATGTTCCATGCGGAAATGGTACCCCCCATCACATCCCAGGCAGACCAACCCCAGACCACTGAAGGCCCCGCGGAAGCATACTCCACTTTCCTGGCATCCCGTCCCTCCGCATATGAGACCTGCGCCGTAGAAGAGATCCTCTCCTTGGCCCACCTGGCGCCCAAGCTTGCGTTGCATATTGTCCACCTCTCGGCCATGGAGGCCATTCCACTCCTGAAGAAGGCCCGCGCAGATGGGATCCCCATCACTGCCGAGACTTGTTTCCACTATCTCTCCCTGGCGGCCGAGGAGATCCGGGACGGTGATACCCGCCACAAGTGTTGCCCACCGATTCGCTCACAGCTCAACCAGGATGCCCTCTGGGCCGAATTGGAACGCCACGCCGAGGATGGTGTCATCAAGACCGTCGTCTCGGACCACTCCCCGTGCACCCCGGACCTGAAGCTCCTTCCCTCCCATATCCCGGGCAGCTGCTCCGCCAAGGGCGATACCGCCATCGAAAAGGACCAAGGTAGCTTCACCTCCGCCTGGGGCGGTATCTCTTCTGTCGGACTGGGTCTTCCGATCCTGTGGACGGAGCTCAGCCGCCGGAAGGGCCTCACCTCGGCTCCCGAGGACACCAACACCAAGCGGGCTCTCCAAGACATCGTGCGTCTGTGCTGTGCCAACACCGCGGCACAGGTTGGGCTCGAGCGCCAGAAGGGTGACCTCGTCCCCGGGTTCGACGCCGACATCTGTGTCTTCGACGACTCTGCCGAGTGGGTCGTCGAGCCGAGCACCATGCTCTTCCGGAACAAGTGCTCGCCGTACCAGGGTCGCACCCTGCGCGGCATGGTCCGTGAGACGTGGCTGCGCGGCGAGAAGATCTTTAGCCGCGACGGCGGCTTCAGCAGCAAGACTCCGGCCGGCTCCCTGCTGTTAGAGAAACGGGTTTGATTCTTTTCATTTGTGCTCCCGTACTTCGATCGGGCGGTTGACCAAGGCACAGCCACCCAGACATCTCCGACGACAACCAAAAAAACACAAAACATACCTGATGACCATAGATATCCACGCTACTGATGATCACTAATGACCCGGCAGCAACACAGCATATATCAGCGCCATAGACTGCGCCATGATGTAGCATTTCTGTTAAGCATTGATTTCTTTGTTTTATTATAGAGGGAATATGAATACCAATATTAATGTTTTGTCCAAAATCTTCCCGTCCATGTTGGTGAACGTAGGTGACAGCAAACAAAATGGAGTAAATCGTTTCAACAAGGTGTATCTCATTTTTTAGGTCGATAAACAAAAAAAAGTATCATACAAATCAGTCCTTCCAGACTGAGGGGTATCAAGAACATGCATATGCATCCTGTTCAAGTGTTAACAGCAGACCGGCGGACCGGCAACTTACAATCAATCCCCGCCATCTCCATCCTTTCCCTTCTCCTCCCACCGCTCCCTCACCCTCCTCCGTAACCCCCCATTAGGCCCTCTCCCCCAAATCTCCTCCTTCTCCCCATCCACGCGCTGCACACTCTCACTATCCTCCCCGCCACCCAGAACCTCCCGTCCAACAACCACCTTCCTCTCCTTAACCCCCCTCTCC